ACTTGAGACGAAACAGTGAAATTATTTTGCTCAGTGGAAAGCTATCTGATACCAACACGCGCCATTTGGCCTCGTCGTTATTCACGCAATGTTCCCACCATACGCGGGTGGCGTTGCGCAGACAACGGCTGTTGGATACGGATTGTTGTTGGACACGACCTGCTCGGAGAGGCTAGGTTTTACAGCCATAAAGCTACACAGCGCGTACCGTTGTGTAATACACGCCCTTTTAGTGAAAGGGATATGTCGCGCCGGCGCCAGGGATGCCACAGATTAGCAAACGCTAGTCTGGCTTTGATCACGCGTTGAAAGATCTCCCCGCCGCTATCCAACTCCCGAGATATACAAAGCTTTCGACTACTTCNTACAGGAGCGGGTTCCTGCCAATCTTGCAACAGCAGTTAGCACTTTGAAGGTGTAAAGGACAGATCGTATCGAATAACTGTAGTGGTTGAGGTAGGCACAGATCACGAATCAAGAACGACGGATACCACGGAAACACTGAATCGCACTAGCACTTGTATGCTGGTATCGCCCGTTACCGAGACGCGAGTAAAAGGCCACAGAAGAAGAAGTTCGTTGACTGAATGAAAAGCGAAAATGGCTTCAAAAATCCCATAACTTCTAACTGTTTGACCTTACTGGTTGAGTGATATTTGATGGGCGGTGTAAAGAGGCAGCTGGGACTATTCTGGATTGAGAGGGCGGAATAGATAAATAGAGAAGAGGGGTTTTAAATGGGCACCCTAGAATTTAGGGCACGACACCGGCGAATGAACTTTTCATTGGGAACCCTAGTCGTAGCCTCCGACTCAAAAGTCTGACCCACAATGCAATGGGACGCCGGTGTGACCGGAGCATCCAAGTGGGAACTTCTAGACCTGACACGCAAAGCACAGAAACTTGGCCATTAGGAGAACGGGATGAATAGAGACTGTTGATGTTTGAACAACGCTGTCTACGCAGCATTGCACGAATCTGGTGGGAAACCAGACAGGCAATGATTTTAAAACACGCGCTACAATTAAGCACGAATACGGGTCAGCAAGGCCTGATAACCTTGGTTGTCACTTTAATGAAAACTCTCGAAGTGAGAAAGACTGCCGATGCTCTGAGAGACGCACTCCTTGAAGGTTTCCCCGGGGGCAAGAAGCTTTACCCACCCTCGGAGAACCTGGAGCAAACCATCGTCGTGAGGTACTACTCACATTTGAGAAAAATAAGACTGAAGTGCGCAAAGGGATGCGATTGGCCGTCTCTCATAACGGTCAAAGATGAACAAGACATCCTAAAGCAAAATTGCAACTACAGAAAATGCCTGTCTGTGATTATCCTGCGTGCCTGTGGATACTATGATGACCAAATGAGACTGTTCGTTGTGAGTATGCCAATTTGCCGATATCCTTACAGTTATTCGTAGAACAAGTTTTCCCGTCCCAGCACTGCCTTGTGGATTCATAGCACCATTATCCAGACAATAAACCGTCCACACAAGTGGGAAGCTAAACTTTCAGTACTGCGAACCCCTAGTTCTAAGCAGGGAGAAGTTATACCTTGTTATACGACAAGTAAAACATCTGTTCATAAGGCACCTCAGCAATGCAAAACAAAAAAGGTCACCCGGTCCTTGACCTCCACTGAGAGATAGATCGCCTTCGTCCTAGAGCTAAGCGACGAAGCTACGTCACAAAATTGCAGTGAACCGTGTCGTTAACTATCAGAATAGTGGGTGCCCATCCATTTGAGTCAGTGTGTGTGTGTGTGTGTGTGTCTGTGTGGGTAATGATGGAAGAGTAAAATGAACGATTACGTGTATTCGAACAACAGATCACTTCAAATTTGGTCAAATAAATGAATCACCAGTACAGAAGATCAGGATAGTGGGAGTGTCGTGCAAAACCATACGACTTCACATACACTCGCGCATATGAAGTCAATCACAGTGGTGTGTGTGTGTGTGTGTACACGGATATAATTTGGAGAATACAGGTGGTCATGTGCGAAGGTATCACATGTATACGCGAACACAGCACACGGGATTTACAAACGATTTAGTTATCAACTATCTGTAAACCGAAACAACCGTGACCGAGCACCGTTTAAGCAAGATTCTTTGGTCGAGTGGACAATTCTGCGAGGAGGAAAATATTTGGTGGAAGTTGAGAACTGGACCAAATAAACCTACATACAAACGGGTACAAAGGAGTTATCGAGCAAGAGAGAGAGAGAGAGAAACAGTAAGGCGAACATGATCAAAATGCGACTGGATAATCTAGCAACCACCGCGCGAGCTCGTGCATTGCACCAATAACGACAACCCACACCCCAATGGTAGGCTATCTCTCTCACTGACAANACAACAGAGAATGCGTGCGCGTGGTCAAATCTAACGCCGAAAGACAAACGGTCAGATGTGGTAGAGCAAATTGTGCCGGTGAAAGTGTTTTAGTGATAACACTGGAAAACTGAATAATCGAATCTTTATAAGAGGGCAATAACTGATCAATTACAATGACACCAAATCCGACTGAACGTGAACACAAAAATAGTAAAGTAATGGATACGTACGACATGAAGATAGGAGAGAGAAATGGACGAGACCGCGTGCGTATGCACACGCACACACATACATGCATACAAATGATGACTGAACCTAAAGTGATTGGAACAGGAAAGGGTTGCTGAATAAACTGAAAGAATGGCAACAATCAGAAGGCGTTGATCGAGGGGATCAGGAATGCATGTGTGCATGTCACGAAATTGTTGGTAAGCACACACTTGATCTGTACAACAATCACGGTTGCGAAACACTAGGTGAATGATCAAAGTCATGTATAGTCAAAACGCTTTAGAGTTGGTGGGCTTTTTGGTGATTTTTCCCCCGAGTGATATTCCAGAGTGACATGCCCATGGCTGGTTTTAGTGCCACGGGAGGCGGAGGTGGAGGAAGAGGGTGGCACAGTAGGGCGCACAGGACTGTTGTCACGGGTTGCACATTTGAGGATCTTGCTGCGTTGGTCTGTACTATGATAATTAGTTTTACGCGACTCGACCATTCGACTGTCCTCGGACCAAACGCCCTGATCTCGACCAAGAACGAACTTTCCATGAGGCTGTAAATGGATAAGACGAAATAAAAACCAGTCACTTACACGTGTTTCAAATAAAGAGTAGGGGATCAAATAATGAAAGAACAATAACAATGGTAGAAAGGGATAGAATGTTATGGGTGATTGCCGTTGTATCCCCAATTGGACTTGAACAGCAAACCTTCGTGCTAAGAGTCAAAACAAAATAACTCTGAACCCCCATATGCACCGTTCGTGTATGACAAAGAATCGACGGATTGCGAGCGATATTAACCAAGCCAATTACTTTTTGTTTCTCACGAGAGGATCGGTTCCCATTCTTGTAAACTGACAACATGATAGACCTACACCACTTATCTATAACTTAGTCACTTTACAACATATGTTTCCAACTCTAAGATTAACCCTGGGTCTTATTACCTAAAGGTGAAGGCAGACAACCTGTCCGGCCCAGAGCTTTTGTGCCTTTTAGGTAACTTCCATGTAACCTTTATTTCAGGAGGACCGATATCAACTAGCACCAACTGCTGAATTAAAACAGAAAAGGGCAGATCCGCTTCACGAGCAAGCTGACCCAAATCAACCACAAAGCAAAAGCTACCGTTCATGGGACTCATTAAAAAGTTCAGTCCTATGGGACTGCCTGTGCTGAGTACGATTATGCATCAGTCTTGATGTATTTTACCTTCCGATTTATTTGGCGTCGGCAAAACACTAAACCCGGTTGCCCAATCATCGACTGCCTGGTCCAGTTCATCCTGCTCGCTATGAGGAAGAGCTAAGGAATGAGCTAGGAGCCCTGTAACGTTATGGAATGAATTACCATTTGGAACAGATTAGACATGCAATCCACTTCGAGGTATCTGTGAATCTAAGCGTGAAATTCATTCAAGACACTGATGGACAGACCATTTACAACAGGATACAGCCACTTGATCCCTAGACAGAGTGCTTTCTAGGATAATTCAAGTGATCTGTGATAGCCCAGCTACCCAAGCGACTGCGATCAAAGCGCTTTAGGTCAGCCGAAAACCCAGCAGAACTAACAATACGAAGTTCCATTCATTCGCTGAAGACAGGAAAGACGGTTGAACCTGACTAGCTTCCCCATAATTTCCAAGACGGAAAAGGACTCCCTAGTAGGGGCTATCAATGTTTCGCATTAAATCCGGTCGAAAAGCGTAGTTCACAAATCTGAAGCGAGTCACTCATTGCTCCTGCTTTCGAATAAATGGTCCCGCCGTATCCTTCTACTACCCATCCCCCCTTAGAACACAGACATTGAAAAAGGTTCACTTCCTGCCCACCCATCTCACATACTCGTGCAAAAATGCGTTGAGTCATGTTTTACACACTAGCTAAGCACTTGCTGTATTTCTTCTCTACGCGAATTCTGCTTTTGCCTTTCATTTTTTAAATCGCTTGTTAAATTATTCTTCGGCTGAAGTTAAAAGAAATCAGACAAATAGAGCAAAACCGACAGGCAAATCCTACCTCATGCACTGGTCCACTTGAACGCCTGGAACCAGAACCAGAGTGAGTGGATCCGGAAAGAGAAGCACTGTCCACTTCGTTTGACGATGTAAAATGCCTTGATTTCGACCCTGTGCTTATCACAAAATGATCATGCAAGGCATGTCTACTGAGTTCATCGGATTCCACCGATAATCGAGAGGAGAGATTATCTACATCAGATTTCGCGTGATCCACCGAGGCTGGCCGATCGGGAAAGACTTTGGGCGTGTTTTGACTACTGGCTGCAACCAGTTCGGGTTCAACAGCAAAGGATCCGTTGTCAGCCGCCGTGATAACCTTGATGAAAAATATGCAATAAAGATAAACAAGATATATGCACCGGTCAGTTACTGATAACTATTTATTTAAACCAGTCAGAATTACACACGCGATTAACCTCGAATAATTCTGGACCGAAAACTGCTCAAGTTCGTTTGGATGAAAATTTATTTACTTATTATTCAAGCACTATAGCTTGCTTGGCTATTAAAGCAGGATCCCCGACTGAAAAAATATGCTCGGAGAAGAACAATCGTTTATCTTGTTCCACAATGCAGTCAAAAAAGTTTCGCAACTGGGAGAATTTAGGTTTGCGGATAGAAGACAAGTGTCGATTTGTGGTTTTCAAAAGTCACGGTTTGTATAACTTGGCACGGATGGGTAAGGAGAGGAATAAACGCGATCGTCATGAGGACCAACTGTTCTCTGCTACCAATTAGTAGCCTAACCCCTGAGACTTGGAGTATTGAATCAAATGAGGTCGCGAAAGGACTGGCAGGGTTTTGAGCTCGAGGACAGAGAAGCTGCCCACAATGAACATTGACTAGCAATCAGAGGATCTCAAATTCGGAAATTGGGGCTAAAAGGAATCCAGTTGTAAACAGTGAATCCCCTAGACCAGCACCATCCAACAGGGCAATAGAATTCGACGGTGAGAAATCAAGAGAGCACCTAAGCAAATTTCGTCACAAAAATGAGTTCAGCTTTTCTGGTGAGTTGAAAAATGCATTCATCGTTCAATGAAATTAGGCGAGGAGGTAGGAACACTCAAAACAAAAGTTAAACTAATTTCATTGGGGAGACTATGCAATCATATTAAGTTGCTTGATAATTTGCAGAACAAGAACGTACACTAAAAGACCGGGAAGGAGAATTTTTAAAAAATGAAACAATGCAAAGACACATTGACGAATGGTAAAATGAGCAAAGAGCATAAAATAAAAGTACGAAAATGGATCCTGAGCTATGAAATAATAATAATAATAACAATATTAATAGCTCGATTCTTTTCATTGAACCGATAAATATGCAATCAAGTTCCAGGGCGGTAGCCGCTGCAAATCAAAAACTGACAAAAATGGATAACTGTAATGATTGTGTTGTATTGTATTGTATTGTATTGTATTGTATTGTGTATAACTTTTGCAAGCACTGGAGCTCACATTTCAGTTAAAAAATCATACACGCTAACCGTCACAATGTACATAATCAATGGGGAGAAAACTTTTCACAGGCATGAACACATTCATAATCCAAGGTTAAGACAAAGTTCGCTTATTGTTCGCTCTTTGTTTGTGAGTAGACGAGCAAGATACGGTATGGGTGAATTGCGGTATGCATTAATTCGAGATGAAATTTGATGAAATTGGGAGCGTGTTGAATGATGGGAATGACAAAGTGTCAGTTCTGTATAC